TGTAAATCAAAACTGCACGCAAGTAGAGGGGAAGGAAGCTTAAAAAGCCATCAAAATCCATAGCAAATATTCCCTTATTTTATTGAGTAAACGAAGAGTTCTGAATTAGTACATATCTGCAAATTTATAAACGGCAATTTCAACAGGAAACAAACTTTCAAGAACCACAAACCAGGCAACGTCAATGTGTCTTTAAAGGATGAACGAGTTCAGGTTTACAGGGAAATGCCACCCCCTTTTCTCCTCATTCCTGGGGACATAGATACGTTGCAAAAGACAGCATCCAGGGTCACGGCGGGCAGGGCGCTGCGTGGAGAGACAGTCCCACAGCGGCCCCCGCGCCCCGGCCAGCTGCGACAAGCTCTGTCACTTCAGGACAGGGGCCGGGGCGCAATCCCACGAGTGAACCCGTGGCCTTGAGAACAGACACTGAAATGCCCAACTTTAAGTGCCTGAGAGAACGTTAACATTTTCACCTACAAAGTACTGTGCCAAGAATGGATTTCTTTCTGGTGCTCCCTGAACCGGGAGGGAACAGCACACCCTGAAGACGCACAACTGGCATCCCTTGTCACACACACATAGGGGCGTGGCCCGTGTGCGCCACAGGACTGGAAGCACAGCACGCCTGGTGCTCAGCCACCCCTCCAGGGCAGCAGGTGAGAAGATGCCTGCGGTGAGAACCACACCCACAGCACCAGAGCAATTAAAGGACTTTGCAAAGTGGCGACCTTGGGGATGATCAAAGTTCTCCACGTTAAACTTCTTTGTGCGGTTTTCATTGCCCATCCCTCCATCATTACTACCATTTTAAAAACGTGTGTTAACTGGAAAAAGGAGTCCTGCTCTGACCCCGCACTGAGAGAGCTCCTGTGTGATGTGAAAAGGCACACACGGGACACGCCGCTTCCTGCTTTACTGCCGTCAACCTGCCTAACGTGAGGCTGTCGTTAGACCCTGGAAACGGAAAGACAATCATAGACTTGACAGCTAGTAAACATAAACAGTCCACGTAAGTGGAGTGCGTCACTCCAGGGGACTTGGCGGGGACGGCGGGCACCGCCTCTGGGCTGCGGTGACAGTGCCGGGCTCCCCCGTGGGCCGGCGTGAGGAGGGCTGCTCCCAAGCCTGTGGGTCCCACGCCAATCTGCACATTCATCCTGTAATCCGGGTCTGCGGGGCCACCCTTCCAAGGTGATGCCACTGCATAACGTGTTTTTCAAATAAAAGGCGATCACCACGAACGGCCTTCAGCAAACCCAGCAAAGGCCGGCTGCTGGCCTCACTCAGAACCATGCTGGATATTTTAATGTTTCCTGTAAGCCAGCTCTTACTAGACAGAACACGACAGTGCCACTGCCTGGGCTACAAGCAGAAAGACAGGACCTGTAGGAGCTATCTTTCAGGCTCATTTTCCCGGTTGCCGAAGGGTCCCCTCCGGGAGGGGGCTCCTCCCACTCGAGTGAAGGGGAAGAAGGGCTGTGGGCAGAGTCCAAAGAAGCCACAACTGATATTAAAGAAATGGTTTCAATATAAAAGGAAAGCTGTAAAATTAAACATATCGTGAACACTCTGGAAAAGGAAAGTTGTTCAAAATTTCTCCAAATCTGACCAAAAAGCTAACCCTGAATCTGAAAATCACACCTTCACCAGCAGTGTCCACAGAGCGTCTGGGATGCTGGGCTCGTTCTAGAGCCGCGCTGCCCATGCGTGGAACAGGGAGGGGGTCAGGGGTCGGGGTCAGCAGTCAATGCAGCTGCAGGTCCAGCCTCCAGGGCTGCAGGGCCTGAGGGGCAGACCGACGACAGCCCAGGCCGCTCGGCTTCCCTGCAAGTCACCGGCACAAATGGGAAAGAGGAAGAGGAGACAGACGGGCTATCTCGACCTTGACCAGCACGCGGGCCGGGTCTGGATCCCAATTTGAGCAAACCAGACGTCGGCCAGCACTTCGTCCACCTTGTGGGGTGACATCTGTGTGGGGTCAGTGAGGAGGCGCCTTACGTTTCAGAGACACATGAGCGCTGAGGAAGGTCGTCAGCGCGTCAGGCCCGCTTTATAGGAGGGGGGCAACACCCGGGGGGACGTGGCGGGGGGGACACAGGACAGCCCTGCCCAACAGGCTTGGGCTTCACTCCTGATACGCCTCTTTCCGCTTCTGCATATCCTGAAAACTGTCTAAACAAAAGCTAGAAAATTATCCCCAGAAAAAGAAGTTTCTTTGAAAAAACAAGACAAAACTTTTAACAGGAAGGTCCAGTAAAAGACATCTGAGAACACGACTTATTCAGATTCTTCGACATGTGACGACGACCACACAACCCCCCCCACTCACACCCCCCGCCCCGCATCCTGCAGCCCCGGCTGCTCTGCTGGCTCAGACTTTCTGCCCAGACACCAGGACGGGCTGCTTTAAAGACAAAAGGACACTCTTGTTAGTTCGGAGCGTCGGGGGGCACAGTCAGGAGACAACAACCGACCAAGGACAGAGGCAGCCGTCGTGTCAACTAAGATTCAGGAAAAGCGTTGGATGGACAGCGTCTGTATCAGCTCCTTGCCACACACACCCACGGTGTGTCTTTTCAGTGACACGAAGTGTCCCAGACGTGCCATCCTCACCAGTGACGTCAGTCACGGTCACACAGTCTCTCCACAGACGCCGGCCAGTCAGCACCAATGCAGACGGACCCATGGCCTGGGAGGTGCGGGGGCGACGGGTGAGAATGTCCCAGGACCAGAGCCACAAGGGACCCAGAGCGGCGGTAAGGCAGCTGCGAGGATGGAAAGTACCGACCCATTAGGCTGAAGCCCCTGCTGGTACCCGACTGACACCATCGACACCATCGACGGACGGCGACCGAGCCAGCAGGGAAGCCCCGGCATCTCCACGCGGCCGCCGGGAACGGGGTCCACACACACGGCGAGGATGGGACTTTCAGGAAGAAAACTAACCTTTAAACACGGTGCTGCTCCACCAGGTGAGACCGGGAAGGAAGCACAAGACCCAGTCCATGGACTCGGTGACAAATCCAGCCCTCGAGGGGCCCGGCCACGCAGCCTGTGCTGAGCGCTGGCCCCACGTCCGCGGGGTGTGGAGCGCAGTGCCCCCAGGGCCACAGCCACCTTGGCCTGTCCACACACATGACCTTGCCCAAGGCCTCTGGACGGATGCGTGCGGATGGGGTCTATCAGAATCAGCCCGCAGCTGTGTCGGGTGCACACCTGACCGGAGGAGACACCACTGCTACAAAAGGCCAAGCCCCCTGCAGCTTGGGGAGGCCCCGGGTGCCCAGTCCCCACAGGGAACAAGCCCCCGTCGGCCCCAAGGAAACGGCTGGCCAGCTCGAGCCAACGCCATGCCCCTTGGGCCGGTTGGTGTGTCTGGTTCTGCCTTCCCTGCAACCGAGTGCGTGGCGTCCCCCAAGGAAGGTGGAAAGGACACAGTCCCGCTTACACCGCAGGTTAAACCAACGCCTCTCCAGGCACGGTCCCTGGATCCTAAGTCACGGACGCAGCCAAGCCTCGGGCGCTGAGCCGCCCTGGGCAGTCCCAGACCACAGCACACGGAGGCCGCAGCCCCCGCTGCCCTCCCCAGGAACTGGGTCCTGTGGGGCCTATTCAAGATTTCGTGCAGTCAGATCAGACAAAACCTCCATCATAATTAATCACGGGCCGCACACCTCACCTTAAGAAGCAGCAACAGGCATAAGGCACACATTCCATTAGAGGTCAACACGAATCAGAACCGTGTCACACTCAAAACACATAGCACCACTTTTGCTGTATCGAAGCCAACGCCAGAAGAATAAAGCTGCACAGGCGAGACGACCAGCCCCGAAGGGTGAGCTGGAGACACTCCCCCACTCTAAACCCGCGGCACAGCTTTTAACACGGCTCCAAGCGCAAGTTTTCACTTTTGGCATTCCAAATGGAACAATCAATCAGAGAATTAGGGTGAAAAAGGAATATCTAGCCGTGACCACAAATCACCTTCTGTATCGAAAGCCGACAGTCGGAGCCCTCACCCCCCGAGCAGGTGAGGGTCCCCAGGAGGGAAGCCGGGAACGGTCAGGACAGGTTTTCATCGACCTGCTCTCCAGGAGTCAAATTCTTTATGTTACTCTGCAGATCGAAAAGGACTCTCTCTCCCCTTGTCAGAGCAAAGGGGTTACCGAAGAAGAGGCTCACGTCTAGGGGGGCCTCGGCCTCGGAGCCCCACGAGTCTGTGTCGGAGCCACTCGGGTCCTCAGCCGTCGTGGGCGGGCAGCTGAGCTGCTCTAACTGGTCGACGATGTCCGAGAAATGGAAGGCTGAGCTGGCCTCGGAGCGGACCGAGCAGGCGGGGAAGTTGGCCATGGAGCTGGCCTCGGACTGGGCGGCAGAGCCGGGCGTGTGCGCGGACAGGCTGCCGGGCAGCGGCGCGTTGCTGAGGGAGCTGGTCTCGGACCGGTGGAGCCGGAGCGAGCTGGCGGCGGATGGGCTGAGCAGGCGCTGCATCAGGCTGGCCTGCGCCTTCACCTCCAGCAGCTCCGAGGTGTCGGCGGGGTGCGCGGCGCCGAGGCTGCCCTCCTCCTCGGACTCAAAGCCGCGCGCCCCACTCCCACGGGCCGGCTCCGGGGAGGACCCCTCCGGGCTGGACGGGGCAGACCCCAGGCGGCCACACAGCAGGGCCTGCGGGCGCAGACTGCCGAAGGGGAAAGGAAAGGCCTCAGAGCCTCCGGCAAAGAAGGAGATGTCTGCCAGGCCGCCATCTCTGAACTCCTCGAACGCCGGCAGCTGGGCGCTTGTCAATGTGAAAACAGGGCCCCCCCGGAGGCTCTGCCGGCCACACATGGGCGCCCCCCTGGAAGGGGAGGGGCCCACGGTCAAGGCACCCTCACCATGGCCACTGTGACCCGCACGCTCCCTGCCGGCCCCCCCTGCCTCTAGGCCTAGGGCGGCGCGACTCAGCCCCTCAGTACTGCTGGGGCCACAGCTCCACACGCCCCGACCCGACCCGACACCTTGGCAAGGCTGGAAAGCAGGCGGCCCGGGGGGCGGGGCCGCGGCCACGCCGCTCCTCTCTGCAGCTGGCCACCTGGCGCTGGGAGCCGGGGGCCCCGTCGGGGAGCCGCTGCCGTCCTTGGAACCGAGCAGGCCCACGGGGGCTGGAGGGGAGGCGGGGCCCGAACAGAAGGAGGCACTTGTTGAAGACGGGGACGCGGGAGTCCTCGTGCCCTCGGTGAACAAGACGCTCTGGGGATCAAATCAGGAGAAGAGAAAAAGGAACACGTGAAATGAGCAATTACTGCTGGGAAGTCGCAGGGCTAACTGGGCCCAGGTGAGTACAGCCGCACCCACACATTTCTGTCACAGCTTCTACAAAGGAGGGCAGCAGGTCAGACCTTTCCTTTTAGAACTGAAGATCTGTAAATGCAGACATGATTTCAAACGGACCCAGGATCTATTTAGGTCCCTTGTAAGTCCACTTTTTTCTCTGCATTAGGCGTGACCTGTCTACAAGAAAGGCCATTTCCACCACTAAAGGCCCTGAGTCTCCCTGGCACCCGGGTCACCCTGAAGTTGCCTGGGGCTGTCTTTGGGCATCATTGTTCCCCTGGGGCTGGGCAGCTGGAGGAGGGGTGAGCTGCCCCACTCGGCTACCCAGGCGCCCTCCCCCGCCCTGCCAGGGGTCACCGGGGGACAAAAGGCATTGGTGCATCCACACACCGCCCAGGCAGCAAGGGCCAGGTCCGCACACGGAGCTCCTCGCCCACGCCATGCACAGGAGCCCCGGGCATCTTGGAGGCGCAGGAGCGGCCCCGCGTATGAGCGGGAAGAGGCTCATGAGGGGGGCGCAGGGTGCTGGGAGGGGCTGCTTGCCACGCCGGGCGCCTGCGCTGCGTCCTGGCTCACGGTCCCACACGCAGGGACACGGAGCAGCCCTTCCCACTCACGTGTCACAGAGACACAGCCGTGTCACACCGGCACTCACAACATCACAAGGGGGCGGTCAGACCAAAGCAGAAGCAGCAGCAGCAGCAGCACAGCGACCACCCCTCTAGACAAAGCGGCAGCTCGCGACCCGTAAGATTAATCCCTTTTCGTGTGTCTACCACGTGGCTTTTTCCTAATCATCGACCATATTCCATATTCTCTGTGATTTTTAAAAGACAGCATCAGAGAACTGAAAGCTTAAGTGTAACTTTTAGACTACTCACAAATTTGAACTTTGTTAAAGAAACAAAAATAAGTTCTTTTAATTTCAGTTGATTTAACAAGGAATTCCAAAATAGAAAACATACCTAGAAGAGTTAAAGAATGTTGATATTTAAAAGACCCGATTAAAAAAAAATTTAGGACACAGGAGCTTTAATATATGAGGTACAAGTGTAGCTTCTGGAAATACTATAACAGTATAAATGACAAAACTGTCAATGAAAATCAACTTTGTGCAGCAATAAAAATGTATAAATATGAAACTATACAGCCACACATAGAAAGTTACGAAATAACAGTACATGAAAAGAGCAAGATTCTCTGTAAAAATATACTTGCATGTGGCAGTCAACACGCAAATGTGAACACAGGAAGCGACAGCAGAGAAGCAGACCTGAAACACAGAGTCACCGACGTCCCGGCCTCGCAACACAGAACTGTCACGTCTGGGACACTGTGGCCAAACGTCTCCTGTGAGTGTTTGTGTGCACCTGTGTGTACGTGTTTTCATATAGCTGTGATCATGTCAAACACACAGGCATACACATTTGTTTCCTGCTTTTCACCCTTAAGATAATAGCAAAAGATGCACTCAGTGAACACGGCTTCACTAAGCAAATCATCTCCCTAAGCTGGCATTTAACCGCACTTTGGACTTTTACAGAAGGAGTATTTCTCAGTTGTTTTCCTGACAACAAAAAGCACTGTGTCCACAGCACAAAGAGAAGAAAAAAATACATAGAGAGAAGCACAAAGAGAAGATAAAAACTGCCTGGATCCAATCGCTCAGAGATCATGTTTGATGCTGTGCATACACTTCTCTTTTTAAATCAGAATGAGGACGTGACCCAGGCTGCTTTGCACCCTGCTACTTTCACGTACTGATGTTCTCTGGGCGCGTCCTGCTCGCGCACTATTCTCCCGAAACGAGATTTTTAAAGGCTCTTGAGTAGCGCCTCACGTGGACACGCCCAGAACTGCCAGTGACTCACCCGGCACAGACGGTGATAAACAACACTGTCACACATCTCACTGCACAGAGCTTTCTCTTCACTCAGGACTCCTTTCTGCAAACAGGGTCCCAGGATTGGAATTTCCTCACAAATGCCAAAGCTAATCTTAGGACTCTTGTTACAACATTGCCAGATTATTTCCCCGAAGAGGACAGGTGATCATATCGTGTACGTTTTACGCAGAAGGACTGACCTGCCTCGGCAAGTTGGCATTTAGGGCGCGGAGAGACATCTGGGTCTTGCTGTGTTTTCTGCAAACAGAGAACAGGCTGTGAGCCCCCAGCCCTCCTCGCCTGACCCGTTTCTAAAGCAGCACATGCTGTGCCGCGCAAGGACTTTGCATAAACATGTGGCCAAGCCTCTGTTAACGTGAGGCACGTAACCAGGAATGGCGGGATGACAGAACACAAGCACTCAAACAAAAACTACACGTCCAGAAGAGGTGAAATTGCGCCCTTCACACTGAAGGAAAAGCTCCACATGCAAAGCAACAACATGAATTTTCAGATTCAAAGTTTACCACGCTATGTAAAAACATTACATCTAAGCTAAGCGATACAGACTAGAACCAAAAAGCATTATCTGTATCTGTACACAGTAACTGTAAGTAACTGTAAAATACAAATCTATTACCATTAAAATAAATAAAAGAAACAGAACTCAAGTGCCAAAATACACGTTTACATATGTGAAGTGATTTTTACTCAAATACAGGTTAAAGTATTTAAAACGTTAATTTTCAAAGCCCACACTTTTCATCATGAAGATGAGAAAATTTACCTTTCATACGGAATCCTCTTCATCCCACCGTCTTTGACATAATCCACTAGTTGCTTCTGAGTTCTTCCACTGTGAAAAAAAATCAGGTTTTAAAGAAAAGAATAAACAGTAATTCACAGCATTAATTTTTCACAAAAGCAAAGGAAAAGTAAGACTTGCCCATCCTCTCTCACAAGTTTACATATACATTTAAAAATTATACTTTGCAACAAGCATAACCAGTTTTCTAAACAGTTTTTACGAAGCCTATTTTTCCCACTATTTTATTTGATATGCTTTCTCCAGTTTTACAATAGCTGCAGTCTGCGTGTAGTTCTCTGGAACATTCACACCACCTTCTTCTTGACTGAGGCTGTTCGGGTTCTCAGTCCCACAGACAAGGCCAAGACCCGCCCGGCACTGCTGCCCCACCTGTATCTGAAGGAGGAACCTCTGCTGAAGAGGATGGCTCTAGCTCTGGGCTTCGGCTGATCAGCAAGTCTGAAAAAGGTGTGATACTCTACACACGTCTTCCAGAAGTTCTTACACGCGTCCCTACTCCCCAGCACGAATTCCAGGGTGTCCTGGTAAGGCCCCTGGGAACAAAAGACAAAGGTTCGAGTCACTATATGAAGAATAAAATTTAGGAAGGCAAAAGGCTGCTCCAAAGTTAAAGATTAGCACGTTTTCTTCCTCAAGGTTGTATACAAAGACTTCTGGTTCCATTTACATTTAAGAGAAGAAAAACACAAGGTATATATTCATTGTAGAAACATCAGGAAAATGTGGCCATCTACAATTACACAACTGCTAACATTCTGAAGTTTATCTTTGTAACCTTTTCCCACCTAGGAAACTAAGGCATCTTTCCAGGCCGGCTGACGCATTTATCTGATATCACCCAATCATTCTCCTGGGGGTTCTTCTGGGATGTTTCAGATGCCCAGGACACACAGGGTTTTCAGGCTCACAAACATCACCATGAAGAAACTACTGCATTGTCTCTCATGGCTATTCCTTAGGATAAATTCCCAGAAGTGGTATATTGAGCTCAGAAACAATGCACATTTTTGAACCTTATGATATATTATTACCAAATTACTTGCCAGAAAGAACATAATACTTTGACTCCTATATTTAATCTTAAAAATGTAAGTGCTTAGGGATACAAAACGTAACCTTGCCAGGTGCAGAGACAGACACAGTCCGGAACTTTGAAACATCACGCTGTTCCAAAGAAGAGCTGCTTTGGGATATAAAGCCGCAATTCTCTTCTCTCCCTGTCCTTTCAGAATAACTGCCAGAAACTTCTTTTTTTTTTTTTACAGAGAAAAAAAACGCAGCCTTTTACTTGTATTTTGTACATGTTTTTGGCATTCCTTATACTTCTCTCATCCACAGAAGAAATATTTGAGTAAAAAACAATTAAGCTATCTGTTCATACTTGCTACCAAACACACTTACACGCCGCACATGACCCTGGGGTTTGACAAAAGCTAATCAAGTTGAGCCTTTGAAAAGCTTAGGTGAAGCCTCTCCTCCAGACTGGCCCGGAGCTCTGATCTCCCAGAGTGTGTCTAAGCTGACAGCCTCCTAAGCTTCAACGCCACAGCGGCTCAGCTAATCTACTTTTTATTTCCTAACTTCCTTTGTACAATAGACATGTAACAATGTGAACATCTCTGAATAGTCTGACGTACTGGATTTTTCCAACTATCAGACTGTACAGACATTTACTTTTCCCCCTTTTTACTAATTTCAGTAAATTTATATTTAATTATTACCTTACTGACTCACAATCTCAAAAGAAAGGAACATTTATTTTCTGAAAATCAAGTCTACTTCAATTAGAGCTATTAAAGGGTCAATTTCTGAATCAAAGACACATGAGAATATTGGAAACGCCCCTCTCTTCATTCTGGACAGAAACTCCAACACTGATTTGCTGTGCAGCTTCTTCTGATCACAGCTAAACACTCCGTATTTCAGCTTTATTACCCAAAGAAGGACTGGCTGTAATAGACCAACAGTTCTCAGCAGCCCTGGGAGTCTGTCCCACGTGCACTCTCTCAGGCCAACCCCACAGCTGAGTCTTGGGCGGGGCCACCCCCGGGGATGCTGATATGCCCTCTAGGTGAGAAGTGCTGGGCAGGTCACCCCGAAGCCTGTCCCCAGTCCCGAATCCTGTCCTTAAATTCTTATGTGAGTTATGCTGAAACGATATATAAAGTAATTAAAGGGACTTCCCTAGTGGTGCAGTGGTTAAGAAGCCTCCTGCCAGTGCAGGGGACACGGGTTCGAGCCCTGGTCTGGGAAGATCCCACATGCCGCAGAGCAACGAAGCCCGTGCGCCACAACTACTGAGCCTGTGTGCCACAACTACTGCAGCCCACGTGCCCTAGAGCCCGTGCTCTGCAACAAGAGAAGCCACCGCAATGAGAAGCCCGTGCACCGCAACTTAGAGTAGCCCCTGCTCGCCGCAACTAGAGAAGGCCCACGTGCAGCAACAAAGACCCAACTCAGCCAAAATTAAACAAATAAATTTTAAAAAGAAGTAATTAAAAACTCAGTATTCTAGCAGAGTAAATTCTCTTACAACTTAAAAAGTTCTCAAAATAATACTTACATGGACCTCTGGGTGGAGTTTGATAAGAAACCTCTTCCTCTTAAAGCTGAGCTTCCGGAGCCTGGACCAGTTGAAAGTGTTGATCTTGGTGCTGCTCTGGAATTCAGGACACAGACGTTCGTTGAGGAACATCTGTAACCTGACGCGTGCACACGACTTCTCATGAAACAGAGAAGGTTAAGTCACATCCTTGCCAGAAAGCACAGCAAGCCCCTGCCACTTTATGTTCGGAAAGACTCTGAATTAAAATGTCAATACTAACCACACTAATCTCTCTGTTTTAGGAAGAAAACTTTATTTCTTTGATAAAGCTTTATTACAACCTCCTTTTTTCAATGTTAACAGTGAACATTTTTGAAGCCCCCCTACTGCGAGGACGGCGGCTGGGAGGGGCCTGGTGGTGGCAGGGCGGTGCTGGGTTTCCCACTGAAGGGAAGGACGGAGGGATCCCAGGGGTGCCGGATGGGACCCGGATCCAAGGCTGAACCCCCGACTCTCCAGAGTGGGCACACCGGGCAAGGACCTCAGCTTCTAAACAATTTTGTCCACTAAGGAGACCAGGGCCCTTTGCTCTTCCAGGGTGGGGCAGGCAAAGAACAAAGGAACCTGGACCATCTTATTGTGTAAGAAAGTAAACAAGTGCTCAAAAAATGACGGGGAAATGTCGAAAGGACACAGGAGGGATTTCCTTCCCTGGTGGTCCAGTGGTTAGGACTGCACCTTCCAATGCAGGGGGCGCGGGTTCGATCTCTGGTTGGGGAGCTAAGATCCCACATGCCTCGCAGCCAAAAGACCAAAGCATAAAACAGAAGCAATATTGTAACAAATTCAATAAAGACTTTAAAAATGGTCCACATCAAAAAAATCTAAAAAAAAAGAAAAGGGCACAGGAGCCACCTGAAGGGACTCCCTGATGTGGGTCAATTTAAAGATCAAAACAAATAATGACAACAGATCAAGTATCAGATTATAACCCGAATTATAACTTGAGTGATAGTACGATTATAATACAAACCCATGATCCACAGGGACGTAAAGACAATAAACAAACGAGGAGAAAACCCTTCTAGGATCATGAAGAATGGAATTTAAAAAGCTGCCTTTTGGCAACCATCCGGGAAATTTACAGTCTTAAGTATCTCTCCACAAAATGCTTACTAATTACAAAGGATAAAAAGTCACTTCGCAGCGAAGAAGCCTGTCAAACGCCTTCCAACCATGTGATGGATACTGGCACTACCGGCAATGGGACAGACAGGCACCGTGGGCCACCTCGCGGGCTGCACCAGGCACACTCGCTTCTGTCATTCACCCGCCCAAGAAGCTTAACTAGGGTCTGATCGTCAGCAGGTGCTGGGAGGCCCATGTCACAAAATGACTGGCCTTGAACCTTCCAAAGCATCAAGGTCAGGAGAATCAAGGAGAGAAGGAAGAGAGTTCCAGACTGAAGAGGCCAGAGCGGGATCCTGACTGGGCAGAGCGCTTGGCCTCAGAAGGGATCTTCTGAAACCAACGAGACTGGGGCAACTGGTGGAAGCTGGATGCGGTCTCTGGGGAAGGAGCATGTTCTACTGTTCTCATATCCTTTCCATAACCTTGAAACATTTCCAGAATTAAAATGTTAAATGGACTGAAACACTTTTCTGGCATTTTCTTTTCTATTCTCGACTATCATGACCATTTACTCTTTTCTACAAATTCAAGATGGGGGGTGGCAAGGTGAAGAATGTTTTCCCTTCAGAGATACTAAAACAAACAAACAAACAAAACAAAACAAAAAACCCACAACAACTTAAGCAATTAAAGAGGAAGGAGGCACTGAAACATGCACGACAGGGACAAACTCTGAGACAGGGGAAAGCTGTCAGGCACAAAGGCCATTTACAGGAACGTCCAGACAAGGAAATCAGCAGAGACAGAAAGCAGCTTAGTGGCTATCAGGGGCGGGCAGTGACTGCTACAGTGCGTGGGGTGAGGCTGCGATTTAAACGTTCTGGGGTTAGTGGTGATGGTGACACAATTCTGTGAATATACTAAAAACAACTGAATTATACTTTTAAATGGTGAACTTTACGTTACGTGTGAATTATATCCAGTTTTTAAAATTCCTGAGTTAAGAAGTGTCCTTGAGGCCAAGATACAAATGACAGGGTCTAGATGAGACCCAAGTATCCCAGCTCCCAACACTGTCCAGACACGAAGTCACTTCAACTGCTACTCAAAGTAAAATATTTGAGGGTTTTCAACTGGGTTCTCAAAAAAGCAAACAAAACAACCAAACAATAAAACATCAACAAAAGAAAAGAAAAGAAAACGCCCACCGCCAGCTCTCACCTCTAGATGGTAGGTGCCTAGGGCAAAGGCTTAAGAAAGCAGGTGGCCACAGGAGGGCCAGGGAAGGGCCTGTCCTCCCCAGGAAGACACAGAAAAGAGCGAGAGACACACTGTTCCCAGCTGCAAGCTTGCCTTCCCATTTTCCCTTTGGGTCAAAATAAAAAATCACCACATCCCAGGGCTTTAACCGAGTCATAAATCGAAACAAAGAATCCACGGATGACTGCCCTCACTCTGCCCTGGGCAACCCTGACACTCACCGAGCAGCGCCACTCAGAGCCACTGCTTTCATTTTGGATTTTATCAAAAAAATCCACGGCTCAGCTGTAAATGCCAAGTAAGACCTGAAACAGAACCCGGAGACTCAGGGCTCTCTGGGCCACCCTCAGGCCTGCTCCCCCGGACAGAACCGCCTTCCGGACCTGCATCCGCATGTCCACACAGCTTGTCCAAGGCTGCTACTGTACCCTGCTCTGAGATCTCGTCTCCTGGACCTCCACACCCACCACGACCTCACGTCCACCCCTCCCCACACTCCCTCCATTTTTGGTAAATTTAAAATTCAGTATTTATATTACTGATCACGTAAGTACTGCTTGCAAGTTGAGCCAACCTGAATTATAACTATACTTTGCTCCTTTGCTTTTTAAAATTAATTAATTAATTAATTTTGGCTGCTTTGGGTCTTCGTTGCTGCACGCGGGCTTTCTCCAGATGCGGCAAGCAGGGGCTACCCTTCATTGTGGTGCGTGGGCTTCTCGTTGCGGTGGCTTCTCTTGTTGTGGAGCACGGGCTCTAGGTGCACGGGCTTCAGCAGTTGTGGCACATGGGCTCAGCAGTTGTGGCTCGCGGGCTCTAGAGCGCAGACTCAGTAGTTGCGGTGCACGGGCTTAGCTGCTCCACGGCATGTGGGATCTTCCCGGACCAGGGCTCGAACCCATGTCCCCTGCATTGGCAGGCGGATTCTTAACCGCTGCGCCACCAGGGAAGCCCACTCCTTCGCTTTTAATTTTCCTCGAGTCACTAACTGCCTCTTTTCGTTTGCCTAATCTCTAGGTACCCGTCGCTAATTCTAATTCAGCCCAAAACTTCCCCGCAGACCTTTAGAACTCTTCGATACGGTCTAACCCATGAAGCCATCGCTCATTCTTCCCCCTGCCCCCTCAAAGGCCGCACCTCCCGGCTTGCGGGATCTCAGTTCCCCAACCAGGGACTGGACCCGGACCCTGGCAGCAAAAGCACCGAGTCCTAACCACTGGACGCCAGGGAGCTCCCCCATCAGCCCTTTCTTGGAGGCCGCCTCTGTGCTTATGCTGACGAACGTTCTCCCCATCTGAGCACAGCCTGCACCTCTGCCTTCTCCAATCTGAGTCACCCTGTTTCCTCAGCTCCCATCCGAGTTTCTCCCTCCTCCAGTGTTGGCCTTCAAAAGGCTGTGCAGGAACTGAATTTCTGAAAACCTGCATATCTGAAAATGCTTTCATGTTCTCTGTACAGGAGTCGCGTTGCACAGGGCACAGAATCCCGGGCTGGAAATGCTCTTCTTTCACGTGTAGAACCTCCGGTCTCCAGCTGCCAGTCCTGCCGCTACTAGCCCGGCAGCTCTCCAACTGCCCCCACCTCTGGCAGCTCGCGCTGACGAGCCCTGCTGCCGGCACACTGGAACCTGCAGGCACCTTCAACCTGGAACTTTGTGCCTTGAGTTCTGGAAACTTTTTCTCGTGGAATTTCTTTAACAATTCCTCCACTGCTTTTTGGTTCCTGCCTCTAGAATTCTGGGGTGCTGGACCTCCTGGATGGCGCTGGAATTTTCTTTACTTTTCTCTCCCATCTTTCACCCTTTATTTATTTATTTATTTATTTATTTATTTATTTATTTATTAGCGGTACGCGGGCCTCTCACTGTTGTGGCCTCTCCTGTTGTGGAGCACAGGCTCTGGACGTGCAGGCTCAGCGGCCATGGCTCACAGGCCCAGCCGCTCTGTGGCATGTGGGATCTTCCCAGACCGGGGCATGAACCCGTGTCCCCTGCATCGGCAGGCGGACTCTCAACCACTGAGCCACCAGGGAAGCCCACCCTTTATCTTTTATTCTGTTCTGTGGAGATTTCCTCAACTGCATCTTCCAAACATTCTCGTTCCGCCAATGTGTGTCACTCTTTTTCTCCGTAACTGCCCTGCTCTTGTTTCAGAGATGCAAGCTTTTCCCTTATTTCTGTGAGGCTTTTTAGAAAACGTAATACACACAAATTGAAGGTCTGTGGCAACCCTGCACTGAGCAAGTCTATGGGCGCTGATTTTCCCAATAGCATTTGCTCACTTCGTGTCTCTGTGTCACATTTTGGTAACTCTCACAATATTTCCAACTTTCATTATTATATTTGTTATGATATCTGTGATCAATGATCTTTGATGTTACTCTTGGGAAAAGATTATGACTCTCTGAAGGCTCAGATGATAGTTAACACTGTTAGCAATAAAGTATTTTTAAATTAAAAAAAAGAAGGAAAATGTAATACAGTGACATACTAACAAGGTTCAAATCCTTAAGGTACCAAAATTGAGTCCAGAATGAACAGGCCCCTCTCCCCACTTCCAAAAGCCTGCAGGCTATAGTAACCATCCTAGGGGCAGTCAACACCAGTTTATTTTGTAGGGAATAAATAGAGTGTGTGTGTGTGTAAGTTCCCCTCTTTTCCCCATAAGCGGTAGCAAATTCCACACACAGTTTTGAACATCTTCTCCATTTAACAATACATCTCAAAGAATGTTTCACGTATCAGGACACAGAGAGCATATGCAACCTTTGGACAGTTGTCCAATTATCCCATAATATGGATGCCCCACCATTTATTTAACCGGCCTCCTAATAATTAATCACCAGTATTTTACTATTACAAACAAGGCCAGAATAAAAAATCACAAGAGAAACGTTTACACTCATGCTAAAGCTGTGTTCCTGTTTCCCATGAACGCGATGTGGGTAAAGCAATTTTTCTGTTTTGCCAATCTGACAGATGAAAAGCAGTAACCTCTCTGAGGAAGCGTGCTTTCCATTTCTTCCACCCCCAGCACAGTTTCTGTTTCTTCTGAGTCTCTTCTTCGCACAAATTTGGGACCTGTCCCTCAAATACCATCTTCCCTTGAAGAAAGGCTTTCCTCAAATTTCTGGCGACCCTTGGTCACTGTCTCTATTTAACAGCAAGGCTCTGGGTGTGCCTGAGTTAGTGACCATCCTGGTAAACACTGGCCAGGGAGCATCACGAGGGGACACTAGTCTAAGGGACATCTGACAAGGGACAGAACATCTGTGTCTTAAAGCGCCTCTCCATGGACCACTTATTAGTTAAAAGAGGAAAACCAGTAACTATGCAGTAGAAGAACCAGAAAACACAGCGATCAAGGTTCGCATCGCCAGGGAGGCCAGGTGGCATCTCAGGTGTGACCCCCGAGGGGGACACATGTCACCTGGGCAGTGGTCCAGCTGGGAACACGTCACCTGAATCTAATCACAGGAAAACAGCCGACAAACACAGACGAGGAACTTTCTATTACAAAGGGGCTGTGTTCTTCAACACCGTCTTCATAAAAGAAAAAAGAAAGTTCCAGATTAAAGGCGACTGCAGCGTGACGGCCTGGTTCTAGATGGGATCCTGTCCTGCAGGGAGACCACTGGCCAGCTGACAGGACTGAGGACAGACCCGTGTGCCAGGTGTTAAGAGCCTGCGGCCTCAGTGGTGACTGACTGTGGTCACGACAGAGCATATACTCTGCTCTTGGGAAACACACACTGAAGTTCTCGGGGTAAAGGCCCCGACGTGTGCAGCTTACTCCCCAAGGCTTCAGAAAAAACTGTGTGCGTCTGGGCGTGTGTCTGTGCGGCAGGGATGAGAACACATGTCAGCGGGAGGTGCAAATGGTGACAGCTGAACCTGGGGGACAGGTGCATGGGGTCTCTGTGTGCTATCCTCATTCTCACAGCTTTTTGGGACGTTTGAATTGAAAGTGTTTCCAGATGGAAGTCTTTACAAGAGGAGGCTCTGAAGTGCTGGTTGGCAGCTCCCAGGGCTGCAGCAGGGCCCCCGATGTCAGAACCCGCTCGTGAGGCACCTCGTCCTGGAGCGGCGGGTCGTGCTGTAGCTGCCGGCCCCGCCCCATCCGGCCTCCCCGCCCCCCTGGGGATCCCAGGCTCCTCGCTGGGCCGTCAGGGCCTGCTTCCCTACTCCCCACACTCTGGCGATAGTCCTTGTTTTCTGTGGTTTCCTTTTCCATTCTTTGTTCTTACTGATGTAAGGTTAAAAAAAAATTCCTTAACGGTCATGCCGGTGGGGATTTTGAGGGAGTGGAAATGAATTCAATCTGCCGCCTTTCATTTCAAGTCTCTAACCTCATGCTTTTGCAGTTTCTTCTGGTCATAAATTATTTGTCCTTTTCTGGAGAAATGACAACAACTTGATCCTGAGGGACGTGATTTCCCCTCTGTGCCAGGTAGGAACCGCCATCAAAGGGAGCGGGTGTGGGAGGCCCTGGACACCACTCAAAGGGCCTGGATTTCAGGTGGAATGTAACAGAACTGACATTCTAAACGCAAAATTAAATTCTTTTCCTACGGGAAATTGAAATTTGCTGGCTAAGTTGAGAAAGAGAAAGGAAAAGCAGAAGAAACAAAGTGTCCTTGATCAGGGAGGCCTGGATCAGACCAGCCGTTTCAGGCGCCGGCAGCGAAGACGGGCCACAGAGGGAAGAGCCGCAAAGCCAGCTGGGCGCCAAGAGCGCCACCGCCAACCCTGGGCACCACGTTCCACCGGAGGTGCCCGACTCCACGGGCCGGGAGCAGGCAGCTCCTGGAGGGGAGGCGGGAGCACCTGGCGAGGCGCGGGCTCCAGAGCTGCAGGCCGGCGCCCTGGCAGCTGTTTCCAGGCGCGTCACACCCCACGGCCCGGCACAAGGACATTCACCACAAACACGACTCAGTGGCCCTTTATGTAACGCTCACCCATCCGAACGCCGCTACCGCACACATCCCCGGGAACCCTAGCACTGCCCTCGGAGGGTCCCCAGGTTGTTCTGTCTTGTGCTTTGAACGGTGACTGGGACCCGTGGCGGAGACCCCACAGGGCAGCAGCCTCCCCGCGGGGGTGGACGCCGCCCTACAGGGCAGCCAGAGCCGGGCTTGAGGTTCCACGGGGGCGACCTTCTGTCAACGTTAGAAGGACAGTGGGACATGACTGTGCGCCCTGCGGGCCATGGGCCCCGTGACAGTGAGTCCAAGACAAGAAGACAACTTCTCTAACGGGTGAGAGGTTGGATCGGAGGGTCCGCAAAGCTCTTCCTCCAAGTCTAAGACGGATTCAGCAACAAAGACTTCCCAGCAAACGTAAAACAACCCCAAGAAGCCACAGCACAGCCGCCCTCCTACCTGGAAGACGAGGACGCCCATGTGGGACACGGCCAGGTTGATCTTGGCCCCCTCCCTGTCAGAGGCCGTGTGAAACCTGATGCCGTACATTTCCAGCTTCCGGGCAATTTCCAGCACCTGGAAATCCGACTCGGCAGGCGTCTGGCCCCTGTAATAAAAGACAGCATGATCACAGCACTCCTGAAAGAGCGAAACACAGGACAGAAGCGACCAGGAAAACAGACCGCAGAAACAAACCAACAAAGGAGGCTCTGTTCTTCAGAGGGTCGGTCACCCACTGTATGTTTACGTACACATCAAACAGAACACCGCACACGGGCCACGGAAACGTCCGCTTGCTTCTATTCTGTAATCCATTTCCTAGTGGGTCAAATGTTTTCTTTGCACTCATTATATGTTCAGCCTTATAATTTTATCTTAATACAAAGTAATGTGCAAACATTCCGTGCAGAGACAAATAGTAAATAAAGGAAATACCACAGATAACTCTAGTATCTCATTAAACCCATTTCAAAACTTTAAAAAACTATTTTCAAAAAGTACAATTCTAACCATTAGAATACACTTTTATAAAAATGAAATTATCGGGCTTCCCTGGTGGCGCAGTGATTGAGAGTCCGCCTGCCGATGCAGGGGACACGGGTTCGTGTCCTGGTCCGGGAAGATCCCACATGCCACAGAGCGGCTAGGCCCGTGAGCCATGGCCGCTGAGCCTGTGCGTCCGGAGCCTGTGCTCCGCAACAGGAGAGGCCACAACAGTGAGAGGCCCGTGTACCGCAAAAAAAATAAAAGTAAAAAACTAAAATTTATATAAAAATATTTTGCTGAAAAAGTGACTGCTTACTCAGTTACAGCTAAATATTCTCATAAACATTAAGAATATTACATATTGGGGCTTCCCTGGTGGCGCAGTGGTTGAGAGTCCGCCTGCCGATGCAGCGGACACGGGTTCGTGCCCCGGTCCGGGAAGATCCCACATGCCGCGGAGCGGCTGGGCCCGTGAGCCATGGCCATTGAGCCTGCACGTCCGGAGCCTGTGCTCCACGACGGGAGAGGCCACAACAGTGAGAGGCCCGTGTACCGCAAAAAAAGAAAGAAATTATCAAAATGAAGAAAACTATAATCACCACAACAAGTGGTTTTATTGACGCCTCGCACGCGGCCCGCATGGCGCCGAGCAGCTCCAAGGCGTGACGCTCAGGTAAGTCCCAAACACTCCATGTGGGATGTTCCGTTAACAACTCTTTTTTTCTTCTTACTTCTGAATGCCTGCGTTTTTGGATCTTTAAGGAATAACACAACTGTTTGCGTTATGCCATTCTTGTGATTTCCATTCTTTGACTAAAATGTCTGTTCTCTGAAGCTGATATAGACATCTATTAACTTGCATTTGAATAAATCATCTTCAACTAGATGATGATTCCATTGTATATCCACCACATCTTATTTGCCCATTCATCTATTGATGGGCACTGCTTCTGTATCTAGGCTATTGTAAATTACGCTGCTATGAACACTGGGGTGCATATATCTTTTTGAGTTAGTGTTTCTCTTTTCTTTGGGTAAATACCCAGGAGTGGAATTGCTGGATCATATGGTAGCTCTATTTTTAATTTTTATTTATTTATTTTAATTTTTTTAAAAAATTGGAGTAGAGCTGATTTACAATGTTGTGTTAGTTTCAGGTGTACAGCAAAGTGAATCTAATATATCTACTCTTTTTTTCGGTTCTTTTCCCATATAGGCCATTAGAGAGTATTGAGTCTATTTTTAATTTTGGGGGGAAGCTCCATACTATTTTCCATAGTGGCTGCAGCAATTTTCATTCCCACCAACAGTGCACAAGGGTTCCCTTTTCTCCACATCCTTGCCAACACTTATTTCTTGTCTTTTTTAAAAAAATATTTATTTATTATTTATTTATTTTGGCTGCTCTGGGTCTTCGTTGTGGCAACGCAGGATCTTTGCTGCGGCATGTGGGCTCTTAGTTGTGGCATGTGGATCTAGTTCCCCGACCAGGGATTGAACCTGGGCCCCCTGCATTGGGAGCACGGACCTCTGGACCACTAGGGAAGTCCTCTCTTGTCTTTTTTTTCTATCGAAGTACAGCTGATGTACAATGTTATATAAGCTATAGGTGTGCAATATAGTGATTCACGATTTTTCAGGGTTAAACTCCATTTATAGTTATTATAAAATATTGGCTATATTCCCTATGTGTATAGTACATCCTTGTAGCTTATCTATTTTATACTTAGTAGTCTGTACCTCTTAATCCCCTACCCCTATCTCACCCCTCCCCGCTTCCCTCTCCCCATGAGTAACCAGTAGTTTGTTCTCTACATCTGAGTTTGTTTCTTTTTTGTTATATTTACTAGTTTGCTGTGTTTTTAGATTCCACACATAAGTGAAATCGTACAGTATTTCTCATTCTCTGTCTGACTTATTTCACCTAGCACAATGCCCTCCAGGTCCATAGAGGCTGCTGCAAGTGGCAAAGTTTCTGCCTTTTTCACGGCTGAGTAGTGTTCCACTGCACAATACATACACGTCTTCTTTGCCCATTCGTCTGCTGACGCATTGCTTGTCTTTCTGATGGCAGCCGTTCTGACAGGCGTGCGGTGGTGTCTCATGGTGGTTTTGATGTGCACTCCCCTGATGGTTAGTGAGGGTGAGTGTATTTCCATGTGTCTGCTGGCCATCTGTCTGTCTTCTTTAGAAACATGTCTCTTCAGGTCCTCTGCCCAGCTTTTAATCAAGTTGTTTGCCTTTTTCATGTTGAGCTGTATGAGTTCTTTGTATATTTTTGCAGACATATAATTTGCAAATATCTTCTATTCAGTAGGTGGCCATTTGTCTTGTTGATCGTTTCCTTTGCTGTGCAGAAGTTTTTGGTTTTATTAGGTCCCATTTGTTTATTTTTGCTTTTGTTTCCCTTGCCTAAGGAGACAGATCCAAACAAAAACATAGTTGACCCTGAACAACTCGGGGGTTAGGGGCACCAAGCCTCTGCACGTAAGTTACAGCCAGCTCTCTGTATCCGAGGTTCCACATCTGAGAATTCAACCCGCCTGAGACCACGTAGCATGTAGCATCTACTACGGAAAACGGTCCGTGTATAAGGGGACTCACCCAGTTCACGCATATGTTGTTCAACGGTCAACTGTATTGCTAAGACCCACGTCAAAAAATATACTGCCTGTTTTCTTCTAGGAGTTTTATGGTTTCAGGCGTTACATGTAAGTCATCTTTTAAAAACATTTATTTATTATATTAGTTATTTGGTTGCACCGGGTCTTAGTTGCGGCAGCCAGGCCCCTTAGTTGCGGCTCGTGAACTCTTAGTGGTGTGGGATCTAGTTCCCTGACCAGGGATGGAACCTGGGCCCCCTGCATTGGGAGCGTGGAGTCTTACCCACTGTGCCACAAGGGAAGTCCCCTTACGTGTAAGTTTTTAATCCATTTTGAGTTTATTTTTTGTATATGGTGTGAAAAAGGGGTCCAGTTTGATTCTTTCGTGTGTGGCTGTCCAGTTTCCCAATGCTGTTTATTCAAGAGGTTGTCTTCTCCCCATTGTCTAGTCTTGTCTCTTTTCACTCACCCACAAGTGTGTGGGCTCATTTCTGGGCTCTCTGTCCTGTTCCACTGATCTGTGTGTCTGTTTTTATGCCACTTCCTTCCCGTTCTGATGGCTGTAGCTGTGTAGTTGTTTGAAATCAGGGAGTGATTCCTCCAGCTTTGTTCTTCTTTCTCAAGATTATTTTGGCTATTTGGGGTCTTTTGTGTTTCCATACAAACTTTAGAGATATCTGCCACACTTACAAACACATGCACATGTGCATACGAACACACGACGTGCTGGCGCGGAGCCACCTCTCAGGTCTGGTGCTTTACTCCCCTCAAGGCGGGTTCTCAGTGTGACTGAGCATAGACTGGTCACCGTCCCACCGGCCTCCCCATGCATGGGGGGGGTCACGTCATGAACCCCCACCCACCGGGCCTGGCAGTGAGCCTCTCCCACGGGGCTCTGGTCCCCATCCTGAAGCACTCTTCCCTGGGGTCCACGGCCCCAGGCTGTCTTCCTTCTTCTGGCTGCTCGTGGCCCTGTCCTGGGGGCCTCCTTCTCATGGCCTGTGGGGCCTCTCCCCACCCCCGTCCTCCAGGGGCCGTCCTGGCCCCGCCCCGCCTCACCCCTTCCCCCGCCCGCCTCACCCCTGGCCCCGCCCCGCCAGCCTCACCCTGCACAGTGCGCTTTGTCGCCGCTGCCCAGGTGGGACGCTTCACACCGCGGCAACCCCACCCTCCACGGGCGCCCGGCTCCGGCCCTGTGTGTCCTGGAAGGAAGGGGACCCTGCCCCCAACGCTAGGAGCAAATCCCACACAGGTGACCGTCCCCTTTGGGGCAGACCGGGGACCCACTCAGGCTGGCACGGCGAGGGGGCCCTCTGCTCGTCTGGTCCTCGGGGTTTGGGTGTGACACGGGGTGCGGCGCATTCCCCCGCCACCAGCGAGAACCAAGGCAGCCTCAAAAGAGGCCACGCCCCTCGGCGTGGAAGCGGGGCCAGAGCCCTAAGGGCCAGGTGCGCGCTGAGGCCGCGTCTGGGAAAGGGTGGCCCCGTGTGCACAGCTCGGACGCCCAGCGGTGCCCCAAACCGCCACACCCAAGACGGAGCTCAGGCCTTGGCTCCGTGACGAAGGGGGGCCCAGAGCCCAGGGCACGCGTGGCACCGCGGGGTCACGTGCAGCCTCCCGCCAGCAGCTGGGGCTATTACTGGCTCCTAGAACCTTGGGGGCCGTGCCCCCCACCCCCAGGCTGCTGCCTCTGCCGGCACCCTCACGGTCCTCCTGCACCCCATCCTCCCCGCAGAATGGGCTCTGCCTGGCACTGCAGCCCACATGCCACAAGTGACACATCTGTACAGACAGTGCCACCCCGAGCCAGGCACACGAAGGTCCGCTGGTGGCTCTGAGCGGTGAAGGCATGGAAAAGCGCACGGCCCCACAGGGAAGGGCATCCCCGAGGGTTGGAGCCTGGGTCTGCGTTGCCCAACGCCCGCCCTGCACGTGATGTCAGCGCGCTCACCTCTCCGCAGGCTCCCCCACGAGGGGGGCCCAGTCCTCCAGGACCCCTCCCCATCGAGCTCTCCCTCTGGTGAACTCAAGCTCACAACCCCCGGGCCCGCGGCCGCCAGCCCTTCTCACGGCCTCCCCATCTCTCTTCCCCTCTTCCTCCGGGTCGCCCTCACCTCGTCCCAGCGTCAAGCCTTAGGGAAGCCAGGCAGCAGGGCTGCAGCAGGAACCATCCCGCCCCCACCCGACACCTGAGGACTGGGCGCGGCCAGTGCGGGACCCCGTCCACTGCCCCCCCACTTACGGAGGGACGCCAGCACTGCCCGGGGCCCGGGCACCCTCCCAGCCTGTCCCGAAGCGGCCTGTGGACGGAGTCCCGCCCGGCCAGCCGACTGCCCCGACGTCCGGCGGCGCCGACTCACGCGTGCCCCCGATGGAGCTCCAGGATCCGCTCCAGGGCCCGCTCCTGGCCCGGCAGGTACTCGTGGGCCCGCAGGTGCTCCCGGACCAGCGCCTCTTCGTAATCTCCTATTTCCGCTAAGACGAGAAAGTAACAGGCAGTCTTTCTCATGTTTACATGAAGAAAAATACAAGCGTCTGTGCGTGCAAGTGCGTAAATTAAAAGCAGAAGAAAATTATCCTAAATCTGTAGCAAAAAAATATATCCCTTAAATAAACAAAATGTTGTATTTTATTTTTCCACATATTTTATGCTGTTCAAGGCAAACATAAAGGCAGGCGAAGAGAATTCTTTCTGAGTCTTGAAGAGGAAAGATGCTGGTGAGCGGCTCCAGGGAGGGAAACTCTGAGCTTTATACCCTGTTAGCTATGTTTTAAACGTTTTCTCTGTAAGTTGTCTCAAGACTACTGTGACCAGGATAAGGTCCTTTATTTTGTTTCAAGATAATGTATTTTAAATTGTTTCTTCCTTCAGGCCCTCTCAAATTCTTGAGGAACAGTGAATGTTTCTTTCTAATTTCATGTATTTTAAGGCCACACATATTTTCAAAATAGTAGTTAAAGCCCAATAATTTTAAGCAACATACTTTGTTCTGAGACAGTCTCAAATCACAGAAAAGCCGCATGCACAGGATCACAGCTTGGGGTGTGTTTTCTACAAAACGGGACATTCTCATGCATAACCCCGGCAGCACCACCCAGGTAAGGACAAGGCAACCAGCTGCTGCTCCATCCGAGCCTCAGACCCGTTCACGTTTCAGCAGCCGCCTAACTTTAAGGCAAAGGACCCGGTCAGAATCCTACACGGCATCTGGCTGTCGTGGCTCTTTACCGCCCTTCAATCTGAGCAGCACACTTCCAAGGTGGAACTTCCAGGTGGACGAGTTATTCTAAGATAACTCAGCTCGCACAGAGCCCTCAGCAAGAGGCACTACCGAAGGCCGTCCGCACTGCAAAGCCACCTGCTGCCTGAGAGGACCTCAGGACAAATCACAGATAACTAAGCCACTTCGACACCTGTGCTTATGGGTGTGAACGGGTCCCACTGTGCAGGACGGCAAACCTCTGGTAAAATCTGCTATTTGGAGAAGGTGAGTCAGGGGAAGGACCAAGTAAACTGCACACTAACCCATTAACTTAGAAGTTCCTAAAATCCTGGAACCTCTCTATATCATACTTCCTGAGTTCAAATTTCAGAAGTATTCGTTCTATGCCAGGAAGATGCGGTCCAGCCTCTAGTCCAGAAGCCAGGCGGGGATTCCCTTCTGTCTGTCCTGCGGTGGAGGGCAGGGGGGCCGCTGGAGAGCCCGGGCGAAGCGCGCACCTGCTCTCCAGACCCTCCTCTCTTATGCTTCTCCCAGGTCATGCCTGAAGTCACCATGGCGCTCAAACCACCTCCCGCTCTGAGATACTGAAGGGCTTCCTTTGTCCTTCGGGGACTGACACCTGACTTGTCACAGGGGCTGTGACGCTCTCCCCAGAGTCGGGGTGCTGCCTGGCCCCCCCACTGGAGGTCTGAGGGCCACGTGAGACCACGGGGAGGACGCGTGGCCTGTCTCCCCTCCCAGGTGGGAAGTTAACCCTCAGCCCTTCAGAAAAACCTGCAAACTGAACCGCCCGTCCTTTGCTGGTGCCCAGCCTGGGGCAGGTGAGTCAGCCACAGGCGCAGCCATCCCATGTGAGCGCGGGGCCAGCGGGACACTCACCCTGCAGGAGGTGGGACGCCAGGAGGGCAGCCGTGGTGTCCGTGCAGGTCAGACGCTCCTCCAGAAGGTCTCTCTTAAGTTGCAGGGCAAACAAGTATCTAGGAGGGAGTTCCAAGCACAGAGATCAGCTCCAAAGCTTCTGAACACACTTCCCACGTCTGTCTCAGGAGGACACACAGCCCCAGGTCACACCAGAGCAGAAGGCGAGCAAGGGCAGTCACAGGAGCTTAGCGCGTCCACACGGCGGGCGGTCCACACGCTGGGCACACCATAGCCCAGGGCGCCAGATCACCTGGAGCCACACCTTCAAGGGGGAAGCTCACAAATTCGTGCCACTTCTGTGAACACGCACAAAACTGCACTCGCGGTTTGTGTGAAGCAGCAGAAACAGCCAATGAGGGCGAAGCTTCAAGTGTGGCTATGGAGCTGTAAGGCAGATGGATAATGTTCGGTCTTGGCTAGAATCTGAGAAACAGGTAGTTTTGAATTAACTGGTGAGAATGTAACAGAGAGGGTGACCGAAACTATTTATATATTCATTTATTCCATGAGCAAATAATCCCCAAGCACATATATGCTCCAGGTGCTGTTCTGGGAGCTGGAAATACCATGGGGCGCAGGGCAGATGCCCCGCCCTTGTTGGGGGTCCACTCCAGCGTGAGCCGTCAGCGCTTACTGTGCTCTCTTAAACTTGGAATGTACACACCCTTGGCCTTAAGCAATCCCACCACTATGAACTTTTCTACAGAAACACTTCCAGAGTTCACAAAGATACGTGGACAAGCATGTTTATTTGCAGCATTACAGCAGAGAAAAGCTAGAAACAATCTAAATTTGCACTAACATGAGACTGGCTAAATAAATTAGGTTACAGCCATACATACCAATACGGAAAGACATCCATGGCCTGCCATGGATACGTGGGGGAAAAAGAAACTCCAACTGCAGTTCTCTGTGTAGAGTTTGATACTGTTTTGTAAAATAACGACTTTAAAGCCCCACGTCTACTGGCATACCGCTGTGAATTCATCTGGAAGACTCATGTCCAAGCGTTAACACTTCTGGGAAGGGTGGGTGGGCAGGGAGTGAAGAGGAACGCTGACTTTTTACTCTACGTAACTTTAAAGTTTTTCTTCTTTTACCACAAACATGCAGTTTTTTAATAAATAAAAAGATGACCTTTTGCATAAACCCGGCTTGGACCCAGGACACGGAATTAGGTTAACACTTCCTGTTACTCACCAATGTCTAGGAACAAAAAGTGATTCTCTCAAAGGGGACTTCCTGGTAAATGTGAGGTGTTTAATACACTATTAAGACAAGCTCTGTGCTCACTCGTAAGGTGTTTTCTGCCGTCCTGGGGTTCAGCTCCTAACCCGTAAAGATGAGACTAGAGCCTTGCGGTCTCTACGTGTCCTCGCAGCTGAGTCTATGACTTTGTGATTCAGAAGCGGTTGGCAAAGACTTTCTAAGCAGAGGTTCTAAGACTCTGAGGACCCAGGTATAGATCCACATTTGGTCAGGAAGCTACTCTGTTACTACTGCATCATCATCATAGCTCTCTCTTATCTAACTTCTGACTCCGGGTTTTGAGTTGATTTTTAGGTTTTTGCTTTATTCCTCATGATAAAATCAGTACATAAAATACAAGGAAAAAAACCACTTCCATAATCTTATTGCCCAGATGAAACAACTGCAAACATTTTCTTTCAAAGAATCAATCGTGAATTGAAAAGCGTAGCAGAAAAGAAATCACCTAAAGTATTTCTGCTCCATATATCCATGAGGACACTCCCAAGTAAGTGTATTTTGTTGGTTAAAAAAGTAAAGGAATGGGCGAAATTCCTACCGACTTCATGCACAGGCACAGATCTATGGAGAATATCTGTTCAGCAGTGCCCTCAAACACCATTTTTAATTCTCAAATTTGTGCCATAACCATTCTTCCAAACCCTGTTTGCATTTGTGTCTGTGCAAGAGTGAAAATGCAAAACTATGACACCTTGGTTACAGCTTTGACACAGACACTAGGCTCGTTCTTTGAATAAACAACCCTGACCAGGTGCTTAGGTAAAGCACAGGTGCTGTCGGGGACACAGGTGAAGGAGGACCCTGCCCACGGCAGCTCTGGGTCAGTCAAGCTCTTTACCGTGTATATTCTTCTTGCAACTGACCCGGATCAGGTGGGAAAAATTTCACTGCTAGGCGAAGCACTGTATTCTTTGGCCCTATAAAAAGAAAAATTTTAAAGTCCACAAATAAGGTCACACTCTGTATCTGCTATCTTTCTGCATATTCTGGTGTGACTGAGCTAGTGCTTTCAAATGGACTGTTAAGGCAAATCTTTTCAAGTAAGAGGATGTTAAGAAATTTCCTCTGCGTGAAATTGTTAGTCCTAAGTACCAGTCACATATAGCAAAGAAAAAATTGAAAACTTTTGCTTTAAGTAGAGATGGCTAAAAGAACCCCTAAAAACAAGCAGGAAACTGCACATTAAAATCTTAAAATGTATTCTTCTTTATATTTTCGGAGTAAAAAAGTGATTAAAAAAATAAAGGTGTTTATACTATTAGTCACAGTAATAATTTTAAAAGCCTGGGAGTTCCCTGGTGGCCTAGTAGTTAGGACTCCGGGCTTTCACTGCCAGGGTCTGGGTATGATCCCTGGTTGGGGAAATGAAATCTTGTAAGCCATGTGGCAAGGCCAAAAAAAAATTAATAATAAGGGCTTCCCTGGTGGCGCAGTGGTTGAGAGTCCGCCTGCCGATGCAGGGGACACGGGTTCGCGCCCTGGTCCTGGAAGATCCCACATGCCGTGGAGCGGCTGCCCCTGTGAGCCATGGCCGCTGAGCCTGTGCGTCCGGAGCCTGTTGCTCCGCAACGGGAGAGGCCACAACAGTGAGAGGCCCGCATACCACAAAAAAAAAAAAAAAAATTAATAAAAAGGCCATTATTTTTGAAATCCTTATATACTTTAGTGAAAGAAAAATGTTATCATTCACTATACTGAACTAGAACAACCTGATTACTGTAAAGAAAAAGTGTAGGATATTAGCTTATCTGAGTGTTTTAGCTTTATTGAAATTTTATAATAACACAGCCACATGATTTCCACCACAAGAGGAACTGTTTTGCTAAACTGCTATGGCAACCGAAATGGCCTTTGCTTATCAGTGAACAAAAGTCCCTTCCATACAACCTCTTCTCCGCAATTTAGTCCTAGAAAACTTACAGGTGAATTCAGGACTAGAGATTTCACCCCGTATGTCTTTTCATAACTTAGAAACTGCACACTTATTTTTGGCCAAAGATGAAGGCAATATCGAGCAGCATATCCTATTTCTTCCAAATTTGAGGCAAGTAACTGAGAACTGAGTTAAACGACACCCCACCCTCCACGTCTTACAGTTTAAAGCTAAACGGCAAAGTGACCTCCAAGTTCTCCTGCTGCTGGCGTCACCATGCTGCTGCCCAGAGTGGTGACGACCATGATCGTCCGAATGTGCCTTGAATTTGGACAGTCAAGGACAAAGCATCTTAGGTGAGCAGAGCTTTAAAGAGTTAAGAAAAGGACTTACTTCGTACTTGTCTAACGATGGGTTTCATAGGTTCAAGCCAGATCTAAAGAGGATTTAAGAAAAGATATCAAATCCATTAAATTATTTCTCTATTTAACAAGAATGTTACAAAACACAAATGTTTATAATTAAGGGAGATATTTAAGGCAAGAGTATTTTGGCCCTGCTGCTCTTGGACACACGTCGAATCCTGATGTAACAGAGTACAGCAGGGCACGCTTTGGGAGGCGTGGAACAGGATGCTGCCAACCACCCCACGTCACAGAGGCTGCTGTCGCCGTGCACAGGACCGGCACCCAGAGCTCTGTGTGTGCGTGCTGGGGCTGCTATCTGTCAAGACCAAACAAGTATCGGCCACCTGCTGCCTTTGTAAACAGCGAGCTGATGAGAGGGTTACTGTGCGACAGGGGTAGAAAGGGGCTCTACAGTGCTGACATGCTTTTTGAACTAATGGGTTCATTTGGTTTCTTTAAAACAGTTCCACCTGTAAATATTAAAGCTCCACACTTTTATGGTTCACCTAGTAAGTAAAATGAGGCATAACCAGTTTAGTAAAGCAGTTTGCTCAAAATCCACTCTTGAAATGATCATCACACACGATATACTCTAGCTGCTTTTATAACTTATAAAGAAAGGATTTCCTTGGCACATGTGCTAGTAGATTGAAAAAAATTAGGGGGGATGCCAATTCAGGCTTAGGTAGAAGGCAAATATATTCCCTACAGCTGTAAATAAAATACTTTAATAGCACAGCTTTGGTAACAACAATGTGCCCTGCTTGTTATCATTCCAGGAGGTCCTCAAAGGTCTCTGGCCCGGATGCATCATCACAAGCACCTGCAGCCCACCTACCGCCTATCTCCAAAAGCAGATGAGAAGCACATACCCAGCAGGACTGGACGTTTTGAAACTCCAAGCCGAAGTAGTCACATTCTATCAGATTCAGGCGCTTCCACACCTGGGTCAGTAACACCTGGCCATAGCATTTAGGCTGTGGTGAGACAGACGAGAAGAAACACGAGGAGGGTTACACGACTTTAGACAACAAAGATTTACGAACACTGTGGCATAAAGTCCCTTCCCACACGCAGAACTTCATTATATTTAACTTCTTGCTTCGCTTTCCTTTCTGACGAGGCGCACAAACTGTCACAAAGCGAACAGATGAACCTGAGGCTCTGTGCTCAGGAACTGAGGCATCAGTAAAGCTAAAAGCGCCTCCATTCTACTTTCTCAGAGCGTGTGGAGTCACATTTCTTTGTAACTTTAAGGTGGTAGGAACCATTCTTAGCCTCAGTAAACATTTTATCCAACAATTCTGATATCTACTAAAACGGTGAGCCTCATAGTTCATGTTTGCATGAGATCCCGTGGATAACTTAGCGTCTGGCAGCCTTTCCCACAGGGAGAAGAGCATGAACTAGGCAACAAACCAGGTGGGGAGCCGGCCCTCCACTCTGCTCACAAAGATCAATTCCAGTGGACTAAAGGCAGAGGAGAATGTTTCCATAATCTTGGGCTGAGTACAGTCTCCTAAGCGGAGCACAAAGGAAAGATTGATAGATCCGGTTAAGTAGAAATGAAACATTTCTGAATAGAAAGACACTGAACAAAGTTACAAACTAGAATCATGCTGAAAAAATTATAACTTACGTCTCATGCTGCTCTTATGAAGCAATACAAATGGTCTTAGGCATACAAAAAGGTACTCAAGGGACTTCCCTGGTGGTCCAGTGGGTAAGACTCCATGCTCTCAATGCAGAGGGCCCCGGGTTTGATTCCTGGTCAGGGAACTAGATCCCGCATGCATGCCGCAAGTAAGAGCACACAGGCCACAATTAAGAGTCCGCATACTGCAACTAAGAGTCTGTAATGCCACAACTAAGACCCAGCGCAACCTAAATAAATATTTAAAAAACCAAAACCAAACAAACAAAAAACCCAAAAAGGTACTCAAGCCCTCTAGCAATAAAATAGATTAAACAGTGAGGTGTCACTTTTCACCCATCAAAGAGGTTATGATGATGCCAAGAGTGAGTGGCGTGGCCATGGGAAGACAGCCACACACCTGCTGGGATAATGTGAAAACACTTTCCAATCTGAAGTGTATACATGTACCTTTGCCACAGCAACTCCGCTTCTACTTCCTCCTACAGATAGCCCAAAACAACTGCACAGAGCTAAACACCAAGGACAAACTAGCAAAGAACTGGCAAAATGAGTAATGGCGTATCCCTAATTAAAAATTACGCATCCCTGGGCTTCCCTGGTGGCGCAGTGGTTGAGAGTCCGCCTGCCGATGCAGGGGACACGGGTTAGTGTCCCGGTCCGGGAAGATGCCACATGCCGCGGAGCGGCTGGGCCCGTGAGCCATGGCCGCTGAGCCTGCGCGTCCAGAGCCTATGCTCCACAATGGGAGAGGCCGCAGCAGTGAGAGGCCCGCGTACCGCAAAAAAAAAAAAATAATAAAAAAATAAAAAAGAAAAAAAAATTACGCATCCCTTAAAAGGAACACAGAAATTCTGTATGGACCATCACAGAATAAAGTCAAGACTACAGTTCAGTCAGGAAGAAAGGTTTCCATTTCTACACAGTATGATTGCCTTTCATAGAACACACCCTCTGTTAACACACAGCAGAAACAGGTCTGGAAGGCTGTGCTCTATGTCTCTCAGGGACTGAACAGAGTGTGGGATGCAGACAAGGACTTCCACTTTCACCTCAATCATTAACTTGTCTTAGTCATTAACGTCTAAAGTTTTCATCAGTAGACATGTTATTTTCACAATTAAAATATAATACACACAAGTGGGTGGGGAGGGAAACGTCCACTATTTAACCATTAGATTTTCTCTCCGTGTGCTCAGGAAGTGCTAAGGCTCCTGAAATGAGAATTGTTATTTGAAGGGATAAAAACCCGCCCTTCTGGGCTTCCCTGGTGGCGCAGTGGTTGAGAGTCTGCCTGCCAACGCAGGGGATACAGGTTCGTGCCCTGGTCTGGGAAGATCCCACATGCGGCGGAGCGACTGGGCCCGTGAGCCACAATTACTGAGCCTGCGCGTCTGGAGCCTGTGCTCCGCAACAAGAGAGGCCGCGATAGTGAGAGGCCCGCGCATCGCGATGAAGAGTGGCCTCCGCTCGCCACAACTAGAGAAAGCCCTCGCAAAGAAACGAAGACCCAACACAGTCATAAATAAATAAATTAAAAAAAAAAAAAACAAAAAACCCGCCCTTTGTCCTAACAGAAGCTCACAGAGAATCACAGAGCAGAACGAGCACCTCATCAGGACAGGAAGGTGAGCTACAGTGTGACCTCACGCTGAAAGTACAATTAGTAGGGAACACACACGCAGGTCTCGCTGGGTTCCGTTCCTATGACGTCCCTCAGAGCATCACAGTAGAGCTCCCTGTGACAGAGCAGGTGCTGGGGAGGCCATGCAGTGCCCTGCAGGCCCCGTGTCACCGCAGGGACCACCCACACTGGGGCCCCTACATGGTTAACCGGTCAGAAATCACAGATTCTGCTGCAACCCACCCCTGACCCCACGACCCCTGGGTGTCTGACCCCACAGAAGTCCTCTCAAAGCCACGTCACCCCTCCCCCAGGATGGGCCAGGGCACCCCAGTCCCACCCCCAGCCCCCGCCCAGGGCTGGGTGCACACCTCCCTGTCGGGTCGGCCTAAGGGGGGGGGGGGGCGTGTCCTCTGAGAACCCGCTAAGGTGCCCTTGACCTCCGCTAGCTCCCCCAACAGTCACATCACGCGGCCCCCGGACAAGGTGCTGGTGGCACTGAGACTGGTTCTCACCCGCCCTGGGCTCCCCACCCCGTCTGCGGTCGGACGGGAGGCGGCACAGCCGTACCCGAGCCGCCCACCCCACTACCCGCCGGCCAGCCCTCCACCTGCAGTGAGCGCGGCCTGAGCTCTGCTCTGGGGCCGTCCCAGTGGGACTACGGGCACCAACCACGGCACGTGTGTGACACGAGGTTGCTCACGACACAATGCTGCCTGGCACCGCCCAACACCCAGGGCAGGGGCTGTATATCGGGGCACAAAGCACATGAGTTACACATGTATTTGTATGTATATGCACATATGTACACACATTTATGGAGACACGAAAACACATACATGTATAATGCACACAAGAATGGACACACATACATACACACATGCATGGGTATACATACGGACACACATAAACACATGTGGGGATATGCGTATATAAATGCTCATGTATGATACACACATATACACAGACCTGAATGGACAACTATATATATTTAACTTCCTGAATTGGAATAATTTTCTTTTTTTTTTTTTGCAGTACGCGGGCCTCTCACTGTTGTGGCCTCTCACGTTGCGGAGCACGGGCTCCAGACGCGCAGGCTCAGCGGCCATAGCTCACGGGCCCAGCTGCTCCGCGGCATGTGGGATCTTCCTGGACCGGGACACGAACCCGTGTCCCCTGCATCGGCAGGCGGACTCTCAACCACTGCGCCACCAGGGAAGCCCTGGAATAAATTTTACTAAACTAAAAAAGTTTTCCAAGTCAATTACTAGCCTATGTTCAGGTAACAAAAAGAATTTTGTATTCTCCGTGTGTCCTGAAATACATAATCAATTCCCACAAAAACCATCAGAAACAGGTGTCTTCACAAACCATGAAGGCACAGACATCTCCAAAGATATTTAAATTAATCCAAGGTGACACAGATGGCGGGGCGGGGTGGGGGGGGAGGGAATCCCTTAAATTTGCTTTATGGAAAAGAACCCCCAAACTCCAAACAAATCCACATATACACACACATTCCCCAAGAGAAAGATTCCTCCTTATGGATGTCAATGGAAACATCCCAAGTAAAGTATCAGCAAACATAACCTGGCAAAAACAGAAAGAGTGACACATCATAGCCAAGTAAACTTATTCAAGAGAGAGAGGATAATTCAACACACCATTAGGAGATCTAACATTAACCTGCAGAAAAATATCCTACGGTTATTCCCAGAACCTGAGACTCTGAGAAGGCATCTGATAAAATTCAATTCTTAATAAAATAGGAAGAGAGGCATGATTCCCTAACATCTAACAAGACGGGGTGGCTGCCCCTAACCGCACATTCCATCACTAACTCTAAATGCCAGCACCAAAACAGGAAGAAACGGGAGGCAAAAAAACTGGAAAAGAGGAAGCAAGGTGTCATTACTTGCAGGTATGATACTTTACTTTGAAAATCCAAGAACATCAACTAGAAAACTATTATAAAAAAGATGAAATTCAGTTAGGTGATGGGGGAAAATTATTATACGGATATCACCAGGCTTTTCAGGATAGAGAGGAAGAAACAACCACATTTGTAACAGCAATGAAAAAACTGAAATATCTTGGAATAAACTTACAATAAAAGAAAGCCTTACGGCGAAAATTTTAAAAACACTGTCAGGAGACTGAACAAGGGGCGGAAGTGGACGGCGCCACCTTCTTGGAGAGAAACACCCTCGGAGACGTCAAGCTTCCTTCCATTAATCCACAGATTCCATGCGGCCCTAATAAAAGTACCAAGAGGATTCTTTAAGGAACCTGAGAGGCTGATTCTACAGTTGATGTATTTTTTAAAATGCAAGAATGGTCAGGAAAATTCTGAAAAAGAAAATTAAGAGAGGATGAGCCTCAGCAGATAGTCAAACTGTTGAAAAACTATAGTAATTAAAACATTTGGTACTGGTGCATATGTCCACACAGACAAATCAATGGAATAGAGTAGGAGGTGAAGAAATATACCCAAACACATAAAACAGTGGAGTGCCTGGTAACAGTGACATTTCAAATCAATCAGTGAGAGGAAAACAGATTATTCAATAAATATTATTAGGTATCCATCTGGAAAAAACTAGGCTGTACCCTTATCTGGCATAATAATTTCAAGATGAATAAAACATCTAAACACAAAAATATCTACCCATCAAAGTACTGCAGTGAGATAAATCTGT